CCAGTGCCCAATTTCTAACGTCAAACTCTCGCTAAAAATTAATTTAACTTTTTTTTTTGGTAAATGTAGGAAAACTTAAGGGAGCTTTTGTATAAAAATTTCAAATCTTAGATATACATAGAAAAGTTTTTATGAATTTCTAACTCAAAATAATTTGCTAATATTCGTGAATTTGCTGAATTTTGTCAACATTTTAACTTCAGAGTTCAGACGCTCAAAWTATTGTGGATTCACGCTTACCGGCTTTTTTATTACGCTATAAAATAAAATTGAAAACTGGTTTGCCTATTTTCGGTTTTTCCTAACGCTTTTGAATACTTTTTGGAAATTTTTATTGTTGACCCCCCAAAATACCAACTGAATTCACTTTCATGCCAGAAAAGATGCTGTTGAATGTTAAGCATTTTTACTGTCCCAAAAAAGCAAAATGTGGCACATATAAAAAGAATATTTTACATAATTGTAAAATTAATACATTCATAAGAATCAAAAATTTAAATATGATATGCATTTTTTTGTACAATTCTAAATAGTCAATTTTTAAATCTAGTTTTACATAATATTATAATTATGTTAAATTTACCTTCTTCTATCTAAATTTGGTTTCAAAAACGATAACATATCAGCGAAGTGGTATTTTTTTCTTTTTGTAGCACCAGAACCACTCTTAATATTTTTCTCCTGGTTTATATACTTCATGTAATTATCGCGTACGTGTCTCCATTTTTTTTCCTTTAAATCCTTTGCTAAAATAAAAAATTTAATACGCTCATCATACTAATACATTTTAAAATTTATTGTTAGATATCTGTCAACTGGAACTTGTTTTAAAGCTTTGCAATTTGATTTTAATATTGGGAAGAGTACAGTTGCACAAATTGTCAAAGATACATRTCAAATTTGTTGGAAAGTATTACAACCGACAGAAATGTCTCCACCGACTATGGAACAATGGCTTGATATATCAGAACATTTTTATAGAAGTACGAACTTTCCTAATTGTCTCGGGAGTATCGATGGGAAACACATAAGGTGTAAGAATCCATAAAACTCAGGTTCATATTTTTTCAATTATAAGAAGTATTATTCTATTATCCTTATGGCTGTAGTAGATTCAAATTTAAGTTTTGTGTGTATTGATGTTGGGGCATTTGGAYGAGAATCTGATTCGAATGTATTTAAGCAATGTCCATTTGGAAAAAAATTGTATGCCAATCAGCTTAATATTCCTTAACCTAAGTGCTTACCAAATACCGATGACTCTCCTCAGCCTTACGTTTTTGTTGCTGATGAAGCTTTTGCGCTGCACAAAAATTTACTGAGACCATATCCAGGTCGTGGGCTTACAAATAGTCGTCGTATATTCAATTATAGRCTTTCAAGAGCAAGAAGGACGGTTGAATGTGCATTTGGCGTACTTTCAAATAAGTGGAGAGTATTACATACGCCTCTATTGGTTGAACCAGATTTTKCGGACGACATCATAAAAGCTTGTTGTATATTACACAACTTTGTCCGCAAACGAGATGGGTATAATTTCGARGACATGGATACAAGCTATTTGGTAGATGGTTTACCTAATAGAGGACCGGGAGTACGATCTCAAGGAATTGAGGTTAGAGATTTTTACGCAGAGTATTTCATGGGAGCAGGATCCGTACCATTCCAATATAACAAAATATAAAAACTAAAATGATAACATCTACAAACGTAGATATTTTAATACTTATTAAAATTAATAATTTCTGGTGGTTTAATTAATTTTTATTTATTTAGGTATGTATATTGTATTTTGGAACATTAACATTATAAAATATGTATAATTACGTATGTATATTAACTGTTTTTTATAATATTCGTTTTTATTCATATTAATAAAAAAATGTTACCTTTTTCCTCCTTTTGAGCCGTTGAAAGTTCTTCCCAATTTTTGTTTAAAGCGGCAGCCACAGAATTCCATGCCAACATTTTCATTGGCTTGTCATGGTAATCGTTTGAGCCAATATCCCATAAACATGGTCTTGACTGAACTTCGATTATTAATTTTTCAAAATCGAACATTTTTTTACGTTTTTTTTAAATTCAAAATTTTCAAATCGGAAAAATTATATAGTTTGCCGCGTGCGTTATTACCGCGTCGTGTGGTCGATATAATTAAAATACATGTGTATATATTTAATCTATTAGCTTGAAATACTTCAGCTGGTTCAAAAGAAGTAAAAGTACTTTTTTTCTGCCAAGTTCGATTGCACCTACACTTCTAAGCCTTCTCGCAACATTTTTCCATCTTTCGATGAGCTTCCCTTTGGCATGAACTTGGTGAGTCCCTTCAGATTTCGATGGAATAAAATATACTCTCTATAAACAAATAAAAACTTGAGTTGATTCTAATCACTAGTTGTTGTTTGAAAACATTATGCAAAGTAATTTATTTTATACAGTGTGTAAAATGGATTTATATTTGACTAACTTATTTTTGAAATATTAAAGGAATTTTACTAGGTTGTAACATATGTATTTATTATAAATTATATAAATAAGTATAAAATTATGCAACTATACTTACTTCTTTTTCCTGAGGAAATACTTCAACAATTAGTTTAGAAATCTTTTGGAAGTATAAGTCAGAACCCCTATAAAAATCTTATTGTAATAATCTTGTGAACTAACAAGTATACATATACATTTTACTATACCTAACTATTAATTTATAACTCAAGAAATTATATTTATACATAGTCTGATAGTCGTATGGCTGTATGGCTATACTCTATGGTGGTACTTGAAATTACTAACACTACTTATTTATGATAGAATTCGTGTTATAGGTATAAACATTTATATTTTATCATAGATTAAAAGTAAGTAGGTACTGTATGAAATAAATGTTTTAATTTGAATAGTATAAATAATAAATATATCATAAAGAAAGGTAATTTTCATTTAAATTTAAAATCCTAACTCTACCWGAAGTGTTGTATACCTACTTGCATTTTTCCTGAAATAAATAATTAATTAAAAGCTTGGTAAGTGTGTTTTGAGCGTTATCTAACAAACTATCATTATTTTTTTCTGAATCGGCCAAGATATATCGGCCGTCGTTTGTTGAATGTAATAGTTCTAACAMTGTCTATTATGATAACAAATGAATGATATTGTAATAAATAAAACTGTTACTTAAGTTAGTTCTAAAAAATTATTATAGGTCCTTGAATATTCCTATTTAAAGATTTGTATGATTCAAATTTGGGCTGMAGAGCTAAATTTAAATATGTTGAATCTATTGGTGATGTCTGAGTAAAATCTTATAAATGTACCTATAGTCAGTGTTGCCAGGTCAAATTTGCAAATGTTTCGATTTCATTTTTTAAAAGTTTCGATTTCATTCGATTTTTACCCAGTTTTTTTTTAATTACTCAGACCTCGCTTCGCTCGGTCTTCGCTAATCTATAATCATWTATTTATTTTAACAATATTCTTGTAAAAAAATTGTCGTGTCGTAATCAGTAAACTCTTAACGTATTTTCTCCTGCAGAAAAATATTGTACAATATTGAGCACAAATGCACAATACATTATTCGGTGATAAACTGATAACACCATAATAAAACTTGATAAAATTAATAAGGTGTATAAAACCATAGAATAAAGATAAAA